TAGGTTAATTCTTTGCGAGATACGAAAATAAATAAAAACAAACATAAAATTACCAAAAATGACAAATTTGAGTTATGCCCAAATCTGAATACTAGAAAACATTAAACCACTCCAAAACAGACAGTGCTAAAATGGATTTCCCAAAATAAAGTTATTGCTAAAACAGAACTTTCCTAAATGATTGATTTGAGGGCATAAACACAAAAATTTGGCTAAAATCCACCATGCATCATCGCCGAGGATGGGGATGACTTTGATTTAAAAGTTGTTTGCGATCAGACTACCAAATTTGGAAATACTTTGAGCTCAAATTACATTTCACCATCAATTTGACATCTTTGTCTTTTTCCTGTTCAATTGGTCCAAGAATTCTCTAGCTTCCTGTTATACTTATACATCATTTTTAGTAAGCAAATAAAGCATTGCTGCATTTGTTGCTTTAATTGAGGGCCTTTTAAATGGTAATTTTTGGGATATGAAGCCCCAATTTCAATTCCATAATGCAGTTTCTATGTCTACCTGCATATTCTGAATTCAAGTTTGTGGAGATAATTCTAAGGAAAACAAAATAATTCAATTCCACCAAATTGAAAGCCTATAAAATTCGATGCCTTTCAGCCAAATGCAGTCCTAGATTTCTCGAATTTGTTGATGTTATTCAGGAGTTATTGGCAATCGCGATTCCTTCAGGCCAGATTCTGCATCTGTTGTGTCAAGCATCAAGTACCATGCGGAATTCACACCGTCATTCTCTCCAGAGCAGTTTGAGCTTCCTAAGGCGTTCCACGCAACTGCGGAAAGTGTTCGTGATATGCTCATTATAAATTGGAACGCGACATATGATTATTATGAAAAGATGAATGTAAAGCAGGCATATTATTTGTCCATGGAATATCTTCAGGTTTCTCTGCGTTTCCAATGGGTTACTGCAATTCAAACACATTCTTCAATTATGTTTCTGATGCGAATGTATATTGTTTGATTTCGCATTACTTGTTGCAGGGTAGAGCATTGCTAAATGCAATTGGTAATTTAGGGCTTTCAGGGGCTTATGCAGAGGCTTTGAGAAAGCTTGGGCTCAATCTGGAGGATGTAGCTAGGCAGGTGGGATAGTTTCTTTCATGGAAGATCACTATATTTCATACTCTCATTCCACTTGACCATTGGAAAATTGTGGTCTTGGAGTTTTGCTGAACGTATGCATATTAGACCATATTGATCCTGTTTGGTGTAGCTGTTAAAACAGATTATAGATTATAGATTAACAGATTATAGATTATGATTTTAATCAGAAGCTGTTAATCTGTTTAGTATAGCTGTTGGATTATAGATTTAAGTTGTTGAGTAGTGTTTGTTAAATAAGTTGTGAAGTAGTTTTTTCAATTAACTTTTATTTTTTATTATTCACTATTTGTCTACATTTCTCATAAAAAATAATAATAATATTTTGTAGTCCATTTGTGTCTTTTTCTATTTTTAAAAAAATAAAAAATAAAAAAATCTAAGAGTATATAACCGTGAATTAACATATCCATAGCAGAAACTGATAATCAGAAGTAAGGGGTGAGCAGTTTCTCAAAATCAGCTTTTTTGACTTAAAATAAGTTGTTAGAATCAGAAATTGTTTGAAATAAGTTTAACCAAACAGTCCAAAATAACTTTTTAAAAGCCAAAAGCTATAAGTTGGCTTAAAAAAACCCCACCAAACACCCCCATTAACAAGCACTAGGCAATAAGTTTGAAAGTTCTGCAGTTGTCATAAAATGTAACATGGAGTCAATATATGGTTGTTATTAGCTTGTTGTGATATCAGGGAATGTGGACTATTCAAACAATCCTTTTAAATGGCACTTTGTCTTTTGGCTAGTTAATCGACGACTGTATTATCTGTTATCACTTTTGATAATCCTGTTGCTTGTTATTTTTCCTGTCTCCGCATTTAAACCCTCACCAAGCTGCAAAAATTAATATGCTTCAAGATTTGGCATACATTGGGGTATATTTATCTGATACATTGGGACTTTCTGGAATCTGTTAACTATTTCATTGACAGGAACCAGATGCTGCACTTGGAAATGGGGGATTAGGGCGGCTAGCCTCCTGTTTCTTAGACTCTTTGGCAACACTGAATTACCCTGCATGGGGCTACGGACTTAGATACAAATATGGCTTGTTCAAACAGCTCATTACAAAAGATGGTCAGGAAGAAGTTGCAGAAAGTTGGCTCGAGGTATGATTTGCTTCAGTTCTTTCTTCTTGCAGAAAAACTTAATAGAGTGAAACATAATTCACATGCTTCCAATTTCATAAGCCTTTAGCAAGAACTTTGTGCTTATTTGTTCTCAAGAACTACATGTTTTCTCAATGTTTAGGTTTCTCTTATCTGTTGACTTATTAAAGTTTCCCTCATCAGATGGGCAATCCTTGGGAAATTAAAGACATGATGTCTCTTACCCAGTGAAATTCTATGGTGAAGTTATTCTTGGTGAAGATGGAAAGAAAGAATGGGTTGGAGGAGAAGATATTATAGCTGTAGCCTATGATGTCCCCATACCAGGATATAAAACTAAAACCACTATTAACCTTCGGTTGTGGTCCACAAAAGTTGCACCAGAAAATTTAGATTTGCGTGCTTTTAATGCTGGAGAGCATGCCAAAGCATATGAGGCACTAAAAAAGGCTGAAAAGGTCTGGATTCATATTTGTCTGGAATTTCATTCCCTATTGATAGAATGTTCTTTGCATTTCTTCACTTAACTTTCATGAGTTCCAGTGTGAATAAAATTACTTACTAATGATTACTGCAACCCTGCATTTTTGTCAGATTTGCTATGTTTTATACCCTGGAGATGAGTCAAATGAGGGCAAGACTCTAAGGTTGAAGCAATAGTATACACTTTGCTCTGCCTCTAGCATTTGCCATAAAGTTTTATTATTATGGTGTTGGGAAATGTGTACAAGTTTTTTGAAGTTAATCATAATGACTCATTGAGGTGCTTAAAGTATGCCATGATATCATTGTGATAATGTTAGAAACTTACATATTTAATTTATAAATTTATTTATAATAATGTGTTAAGTAAATTGAGTCCCCCTATAACAAATCAAAAGTTCTGTTTAGATATTTGTTGATAACCAATTGGCAACTTAGAATTCGAGGTGTTGACGCCTCAAAATCACCAAACGACGTCGAAGTCGCATGAAACTTAGCACACACGACCACCTAGGCACGAGAGACTTGTGGGAGAAGACGAGACTCGAATCAGATTCCTAGTTTGGGAGTTAGAGCTAGATTTCACTCTAGACAAATTAGTTTCATAAAAAATTTAGAATTCGAGGTGTTAACACCCCAAAATCACCAAACGGCGTCAGAGTAGCAACAAACTTGGCACACACATCCGCCTGGGCACGAGAGACGTATGGGAGAAGACGGCACTTGAATCAGATTCCTGGTTTGGGAGTTAGAGCCAGATTTCATTTTAGACAAATTAGTTTCTTAAGAAACTTAGAATTCGAGATGTTAACGCCCCAAAATCACCAAACGGCGTCGGAGTAGCATGAAACTTGGCACACACGATTGCCTAGGCACGAGAGACTTGTGGGAGAAGATAAAAAGCCAACACTGAAAGTATTTAACTTGACATTAGTTTGCATCATTTTTACCAGAGATTGCATCATTTGAAATTAGATTCAATCGGAATTAAATCTGTATTGATGGGATCTGACTTGTATTCTGTACCTTGAAGCCTGTAATATCCTTTTCAAGCGTTCCATATTCATGAAATTGTAGGACTAGCCCACGCATTTTGATTTCTCTTCAACAAGTAAGCATTCTGTTGTCATTTTTGGTTGCTTTTGATTATGCGTTTGTGCTGATTACGGCGTGTCTGTCTTTTTCAGGCTATTGCTGTTAAACAATTGGATAGAAATGGGCTTCAGGGTAACAGGGAATTTCTTGTGGAGGTTCTTATGCTCAGCCTTCTGCATCATACCAATCTGGTGAATTTGATTGGGTACTGTGCTGACGGGGACCAGCGACTTCTTGTCTATGAATTCATGCCTTTGGGATCTTTGGAAGATCACCTTCACGGTACGCATTCATTAAATATTAGTATTATGTTTATAGGATTTATAATTTCTTTCTTTTCATTTTGTTTACTTAAATTCTACGGAGTGCAAGTTGTCATTGTGAAATTATTTGAAACCTCTGAAGTTGCGGTTATGCTCAAAGTCTGCATTTTGGCTGCGAAGAAAAGTTCAATGCTTCATATTGAGAAATGATGACCATAGCCTAATGCAAGATGGTCAACAATGGAACCAGCTAGGAAGTAGGAATGAAGAAACATGTTATTCTGCAACTGGAAAGGATGAACATTAGCTGAGATGGATGAGAGGGGAGATTAGGAAGGTTGAGATCACAAGAAATCAAAATCAAGAAACCAGCTGGGCTTAACTTTTTTTTTTTTTAGATGGCGGTGGCATTTGGGTAGTTTTACGTTTTCATCCCTGTAGGAATGGTGCTTTTTAAAATTTCGTTAGTGTCCCAAATGAAAATAAATAAAGAGAGAAAGAAAGATACAAGAATGAGTGGGTCCTTGCAAAATTTAAGAAGTAGCTGAGCTCAGATGGTTTAGGTGATAGTGTCAGTTAGAGGAGTGATTTAGTATGAGATGAGGATGAAACAATTGTGGTGCAAATGTGGTGTGCATGAGTGCCTTTCATTTTCTTTTGTATCATAATCAAATTGTTGTATTGTCCAGTGTCTCCTTTTGTTGAGGGTCGTGGGTGATGTGGGTAGACCGGGAAATCATGGCAGGCACTAAGATGATGCCAGAGGGTTTTAAATATCGGCCGTTATGTAATCCAATACCGTTACACTAATATATCGGCCGATATTGTCCGATATCAATATTGATCGATATATATGACCGTATCACTAATACCGATACATGTTGATACTATTGTTTAAAACCATGGATCATGAGAGAGAGAGAGAGAGAGAGAGAGAGAGTGGGAAAATGACAAATGAAAAAATCTCGCTCGTTTACAACATGAACCCAGTGTGTAGCTGAACCAAACAAGAAGATAAGAGGTCTCTCTCTGTATATTGTTTCCATTCTGTGTCACTATCAGCCGGAGAGAGAGTGAGAGTTTTTAGAGAGAGAAAGCAATGGCGGCATCACCATTCTCTGCAACAAACTCAATTTCACATTCAAATTCGATCTCAAGCTTCGTTAGTCTCAGCCAAAGGTACATGAATTCGAAGCCGTTACTGATCAGACCTCCGCGTTCTTGTCGTTCGCGGAAAAGCCTGACTGTGAAGAACATCGCTAGCGATCAAAAGCGATCACTCAATGACTCTCCTTCCGAAGAAGGTATTGCCATGCTCTGCTCTGTTTTGTGTTTCTATTATTACTGTGTGTGTTGTCAATTTGTTTTTTGGAACTACTTTCATTGCCTTCGAAATCAAATTTTTTTTTTTTTTTAATTCAAAATGTTAACGAAACAATTCGAAGGAAATCTAGAATTGATAGTTAGTTTATGCTCGGCATTGTGTTAAGGAATTGTATGTGTTCTCAAATTCTACTTTCTGGTGTTTACTGGTTTTCTGCAAGGATGATTAAACCAAGCGTTTGTTTTCTAAGAAAAAATTAGGTGAAATTTTGAGTAATGCTTTTGTTAGATTTATTATTGTTTTCCTGATAAGAAGGAGAAAGGAAAAAACAGAGAAAAGCTTAATTGATTAAAAAATTCTGTGTGTTACACTTGGTTGAACTGAATTTTTCTTCTTTAATCGCATTTTCTGATGCAGCAGAAATATCACACGAGGTTAGATATTGTCTTGAATACACGGGGAAGAAACAAATTATCGAAGAGAAACTGAACAATATTGATGAAAGCTGTTTTTCCCTAAGACGTTCATCACTATTTATGATATACAAATCCAATAGAAACAAAACAAGGAAACACCTAATTAGGTTAATTCTTTGCGAGATACGAAAATAAATAAAAACAAACATAAAATTACCAAAAATGACAAATTTGAGTTATGCCCAAATCTGAATACTAGAAAACATTAAACCACTCCAAAACAGACAGTGCTAAAATGGATTTCCCAAAATAAAGTTATTGCTAAAACAGAACTTTCCTAAATGATTGATTTGAGGGCATAAACACAAAAATTTGGCTAAAATCCACCATGCATCATCGCCGAGGATGGGGATGACTTTGATTTAAAAGTTGTTTGCGATCAGACTACCAAATTTGGAAATACTTTGAGCTCAAATTACATTTCACCATCAATTTGACATCTTTGTCTTTTTCCTGTTCAATTGGTCCAAGAATTCTCTAGCTTCCTGTTATACTTATACATCATTTTTAGTAAGCAAATAAAGCATTGCTGCATTTGTTGCTTTAATTGAGGGCCTTTTAAATGGTAATTTTTGGGATATGAAGCCCCAATTTCAATTCCATAATGCAGTTTCTATGTCTACCTGCATATTCTGAATTCAAGTTTGTGGAGATAATTCTAAGGAAAACAAAATAATTCAATTCCACCAAATTGAAAGCCTATAAAATTCGATGCCTTTCAGCCAAATGCAGTCCTAGATTTCTCGAATTTGTTGATGTTATTCAGGAGTTATTGGCAATCGCGATTCCTTCAGGCCAGATTCTGCATCTGTTGTGTCAAGCATCAAGTACCATGCGGAATTCACACCGTCATTCTCTCCAGAGCAGTTTGAGCTTCCTAAGGCGTTCCACGCAACTGCGGAAAGTGTTCGTGATATGCTCATTATAAATTGGAACGCGACATATGATTATTATGAAAAGATGAATGTAAAGCAGGCATATTATTTGTCCATGGAATATCTTCAGGTTTCTCTGCGTTTCCAATGGGTTACTGCAATTCAAACACATTCTTCAATTATGTTTCTGATGCGAATGTATATTGTTTGATTTCGCATTACTTGTTGCAGGGTAGAGCATTGCTAAATGCAATTGGTAATTTAGGGCTTTCAGGGGCTTATGCAGAGGCTTTGAGAAAGCTTGGGCTCAATCTGGAGGATGTAGCTAGGCAGGTGGGATAGTTTCTTTCATGGAAGATCACTATATTTCATACTCTCATTCCACTTGACCATTGGAAAATTGTGGTCTTGGAGTTTTGCTGAACGTATGCATATTAGACCATATTGATCCTGTTTGGTGTAGCTGTTAAAACAGATTATAGATTATAGATTAACAGATTATAGATTATGATTTTAATCAGAAGCTGTTAATCTGTTTAGTATAGCTGTTGGATTATAGATTTAAGTTGTTGAGTAGTGTTTGTTAAATAAGTTGTGAAGTAGTTTTTTCAATTAACTTTTATTTTTTATTATTCACTATTTGTCTACATTTCTCATAAAAAATAATAATAATATTTTGTAGTCCATTTGTGTCTTTTTCTATTTTTAAAAAAATAAAAAATAAAAAAATCTAAGAGTATATAACCGTGAATTAACATATCCATAGCAGAAACTGATAATCAGAAGTAAGGGGTGAGCAGTTTCTCAAAATCAGCTTTTTTGACTTAAAATAAGTTGTTAGAATCAGAAATTGTTTGAAATAAGTTTAACCAAACAGTCCAAAATAACTTTTTAAAAGCCAAAAGCTATAAGTTGGCTTAAAAAAACCCCACCAAACACCCCCATTAACAAGCACTAGGCAATAAGTTTGAAAGTTCTGCAGTTGTCATAAAATGTAACATGGAGTCAATATATGGTTGTTATTAGCTTGTTGTGATATCAGGGAATGTGGACTATTCAAACAATCCTTTTAAATGGCACTTTGTCTTTTGGCTAGTTAATCGACGACTGTATTATCTGTTATCACTTTTGATAATCCTGTTGCTTGTTATTTTTCCTGTCTCCGCATTTAAACCCTCACCAAGCTGCAAAAATTAATATGCTTCAAGATTTGGCATACATTGGGGTATATTTATCTGATACATTGGGACTTTCTGGAATCTGTTAACTATTTCATTGACAGGAACCAGATGCTGCACTTGGAAATGGGGGATTAGGGCGGCTAGCCTCCTGTTTCTTAGACTCTTTGGCAACACTGAATTACCCTGCATGGGGCTACGGACTTAGATACAAATATGGCTTGTTCAAACAGCTCATTACAAAAGATGGTCAGGAAGAAGTTGCAGAAAGTTGGCTCGAGGTATGATTTGCTTCAGTTCTTTCTTCTTGCAGAAAAACTTAATAGAGTGAAACATAATTCACATGCTTCCAATTTCATAAGCCTTTAGCAAGAACTTTGTGCTTATTTGTTCTCAAGAACTACATGTTTTCTCAATGTTTAGGTTTCTCTTATCTGTTGACTTATTAAAGTTTCCCTCATTAGATGGGCAATCCTTGGGAAATTGTAAGACATGATGTCTCTTACCCAGTGAAATTCTATGGTGAAATTATTCTTGGCGAAGATGGAAAGAAAGAATGGGTTGGAGGAGAAGATATTATAGCTGTTGCCTATGATGTCCCCATACCAGGATATAAAACTAAAACCACTATTAACCTTCGGTTGTGGTCCACAAAAGTTGCACCAGAAAATTTAGATTTGCGTGCTTTTAATGCTGGAGAGCATGCCAAAGCATATGAGGCACTAAAAAAGGCTGAAAAGGTCTGGATTCATATTTGTCTGGAATTTCATTCCCTATTGATAGAATGTTCTTTGCATTTCTTCACTTAACTTTCATGAGTTCCAGTGTGAATAAAATTACTTACTAATGATTACTGCAACCCTGCATTTTTGTCAGATTTGCTATGTTTTATACCCTGGAGATGAGTCAAATGAGGGCAAGACTCTAAGGTTGAAGCAACAGTATACACTTTGCTCTGCTTCTCTCCAAGATATTATTGCGCGATTTGAGACGAGATTGGGTGAACCAGTGAGCTGGGATACCTTTCCCAACAAGGTTGCAGTACAAATGAATGATACTCACCCAACACTCTGCATCCCAGAGCTGATACGAATATTGATGGATGTGAAAGGTTTGAGCTGGAAGGAAGCCTGGGAGATAACTAAAAGGTACCTTCTTTCATGGCTGTAGCTTTGATTTGACATTATGTAATACTATACATGTTAACTTTCTTTGCATTGATTTACTTAACTCACAAGCACCCGTGTTCTAAATCCTTCTTAGACAACATCGAATTGAACTGCCATTTTCCATTGAGTTTTCTTGCGCCCTTCAGTTAGCTTTTACTTGTTCAGCCTGTTAATAGGGGTCTGTGAGGGGTGGACTGTATACAGACCAAACCTCTGACCATTATGTACATAGTGGCTGCCCTCTAATTCGAATCCACAACCTCAAGGTTGTTTGGCTTAATGTTAACCACTCAAACAGTGGGCTGCCCTCACAGTGTCTGCTTAAAATGTTTGTAATTGCATAGTTATCTTTCAAGTTTGCTGTGATCTTGCTTTCCTTATGACTGGAAAGTTATACTTATGGTTCAAGATTTAGTAGCTGATTTTCCTGTGATAATGTTAATTGTTTTCTGCCAGAACGATAGCATACACAAACCACACTGTTCTACCTGAAGCACTGGAGAAATGGAGTTTGAAGCTTCTGCAGGAACTGCTTCCTCGACATGTTGAGATCATAAAGATGATTGATGACGAGGTATACTTGTGACAGTATTGTGACGTATGGATTTCTTCAATTACTTAAAATACTGTTTTCAGTCCCACCTGTTTACATCCTGCTATCCATCGAAACACACCCACAGACCTCTCAGTTATGTATATTTCAGTAATTTTTCTGTCATTTGTTTGGTGATTTATCCAGCTAATTCATACCATAGTTTCCGAGTATGGCACGGAGGATCTTGACTTGTTGCAACAAAAATTGAAACAAATGAAAATTTTGGATAATGTTGAGTTACCTGCCTCCATCATGGAATTGCTTGTTAAACCAGAGGAAAACCCTGTTGTTGATTCTGTTGAAGAAAATGAAAGTTCTGAAGAAGCCATAGAACCTACTGGTAAAGAGGATCAATCTGAAGAGCTAGAGCCACTGGTTATTGAGAGCAAAGAAGAACTAACATTTGAACCAGAACCAGAACTGCCTGAGATTGTCCGTATGGCTAATCTCTGTGTCGTTGGTGGGTGTGCAGTAAATGGTGTTGCTGAGATTCACAGTGAGATAGTGAAAAGGGAAGTTTTTAATGACTTTTTCAAGGTAACTAGGTCAGTAAGCAATTTTATTGTCCTCTATATCTTACAATCATGGAACTAGAGTACATCACTTAAAGTTCTGAAGGTGCCGAGCGTTCTTAACAGTAATTTTTCTGCATGTTGTTTTTTGGCAGTTGTGGCCTGAGAAATTTCAAAATAAAACAAATGGAGTGACACCAAGAAGGTGGATTAGTTTTTGCAATCCACATCTAAGTAAAATCATAACCAAGTGGACGGGAACAGAAGACTGGTTGATAAACACTGAGAAGTTGGCAGATCTTCGAAAGGTAGACTGAAGCATCCAAATCAGATATTTGTTAATTGTTTCAATACCTTGAACATTCATTCCAAATCAATAAATTGGTTCATTATCACAAGAACATGTCCCACTAAGTGACTGTCAGAAATTAACAAGGCATTTTGGATAACACCTGCTACCTAGTCTTCCCTGACTTTGTATGGTGTAAAAGATGTCAGATTTTAATTCTATGGACTTCTAGGTGCCTTTTTTTCTCGTATACTTCTTTTATTGAGTCCCATCATCATGCACATATATACTTCTTTCTATAATTACTTTTAGATACAAATCAAACATTTCTTGTGATTGCATGATTAGTTTGAGTTAATTACCTGCAGTTTGCGGATAATGAGGAGCTTCAATCAGAATGGAGGGAAGCAAAAAGGAGCAACAAGATGAAGGTTGTGTCCTTTCTCAAAGAAAAAACCGGATATATTGTCAACCCTGATGCAATGTTTGATGTGCAGGTTATTTCCTATCACATAATTCTTTTTTAATTAATTTTAGGTTCATTACTTTAATGGAAAATAATATATTGTGTGAGGAGGATAATATACTGTTGATGGAGGGATGCATCATTATGACCATCATGTCAGTTTGAAAAGCTGGTAAGATATCCCTTCCTTAGGAGCAGGGTGGGATGAACCATGTGGCTTATAGTTGATCGGCAAGGTATACTTCTTGGCAATGATTATATTGAAATCCGTAGACAAAACCTTTAAGCAGTAAACAGAATTTATTGCTTAAAAATTTGAATTAGACATCAAATCCATGTTGGAACCTGAATAAATATACCTCTAAGGTTCAATTCCTCTCCTGTCTTCCGGTTCATAGGCTTAGGGAGTGGCCTAAGCCTTTGAAGCCCGAGCTGACACACCTGGGGGACCCTTGCCTAGGCCGAGTTGTCGGTCATGAAAAACAATAATTTGAAATACTTTCACTTGTGATATGGATTTGATGCTTGTGTGGTGTAGAAAACTTAGGATTTTTTTTCTATAATCGTTTGAGATCGAGTAAGTTGCATTGGAAAAGACTATAATTAATGAAATCTCAGTGAATCAGAATAGATTTAGCATTTTTCCTTTGTCTATGAAGATTATATTCATAGCCTGCATTATCTAGATGGCATCTTTAGCTCTTTTTTTTTCTCATTGATTATTCTTTTCTTGTTTGTTTGTTTCTCTTACTTTTTCAGATTAAGCGTATCCATGAGTACAAGCGACAATTGTTGAATATAATGGGAATTGTTTATCGCTATAAAAAGATGAAAGAAATGTCTCCTGAAGAGAGAAAAGAAAAATTTGTTCCTCGAGTATGTATATTTGGAGGAAAAGCATTCGCTACATATATCCAAGCCAAGAGGATTGTGAAATTTATCACAGATGTGGGGGCTACAGTAAACCATGATCCTGACATAGGTGATCTTTTGAAGGTATGTTGCTGAGCAATATAGACAATATGTAGGGATCTCTTATGCTCTTACTGGTTCCGTAAACATTTGATAGGATTTATAGGTTAATTTTATTATCTATCTATAGTGTCTGCAATCTTATTATCATTTTTTTAGGATACTATATCTTGGCTTTTATCTATCGTTTTCCAATTATTATTATTATTATTTTCTTCTAGATGGAGATTTAGGCCTAGTTTGGAAAGACTAAATAAGTACACTTTTTAACTTTTTATGAAATATGGGTTGGGTTTGGGTTGGGTTTGAAGTGATGTGTTAGAGAGGTGATGTGACTTAAATAAGATGATGTGACTTAAATAGGATAGTGACTTTTTGACTTTTTGTCTTTTTTACCTCATGCCAAACTTGGCCTTAGTATAGTTGTTCATGATGATACTTTATTGTTGGTGTAGAATGAGGCCATCACATTGTAAGTTGTAACTAATAAAGTAGGTTCAAAACTGAAGATAAGATGACAATACAAATGTGCATTAATAGCATAGTAAAAGCTGAATATAGTCAGTTAAAAGTAAGATCCTGTTTCTGTTTTAGGTTGTCTTTGTCCCTGATTACAATGTCAGTGTCGCAGAAGTGCTTATTCCTGGCAGTGAACTGTCCCAACACATCAGGTATTTTTAATTTGATCTATGTTATAGTTCTTTTGCCCTTTTATTTTATTTTAGTTTATCTCAGAGAGATCTGCAAAAATTTCTGGGACAATGTCAACACCTGCTAGCTTTTTTGTCAAAAAAATAAAAAAAAATAAAAGGAGTACACCCACTTAGAGGTTTCTGAACATTCACGATTTACTATGTTGTCTTGTCTCATTGGTATATGTTAACCAGCCTTAGCATTTCCTGTTCTTTTTGTTTTTCTCTTTATGTTTCTTTTGAAAATTTACTCTTTATTTCAACAATGCATTCTTTATCATGGTCATGTGAACCAATCCTGCGAATCTGTGATAGACCTTTCTACCAAAAGGGTAAAATATTTCTTCTTTCTATCATTCAACTATATCACTTCCCCCTTTTATGTGCTATGGTTACTCAAACCTATGTTTTGCACATACTCCAAAACATTCTTTTCGAAGTAGCCACTATCCATGAAAGAGTAGGATAGAACTGATTGCAGTGAATTACCTAATCACCACCGTAAGAAATTCTTATCAATAAAGCTCATCCATGGTGTTAGATTAAATTAGCATATGTTATTCCTTTCTCTCTTTCGCACTGACTTCGGTTCTCTCTCTCTCTCTCTCTCCAATTTTAATATTGTTAGTACTGCTGGAATGGAGGCTAGTGGAACCAGCAACATGAAGTTTGCAATGAATGGCTGCATCATAATTGGAACCTTGGATGGGGCCAATGTTGAAATAAGAGAAGAGGTCGGAGAAAATAACTTTTTCCTGTTTGGTGCCCGTGCTGAGGAAATTGCTGGGCTACGAAAAGAAAGATCTGAGGGAAAGGTGATTTAAAAAACCCCAAGTTCCTTTTCTTTTTAACCTTCATTTTGATAACTTTGGATTGAACTCATAATGCATCCAAAATGTCATAGTTGTGATATGGAATTTTCATGGATTGAAATCTGTGATTGAGGCAAAATGTTATAACTAACTTATTTAATAGTGAACAAGAGAGGATTAATATTTTATTTCAATAAGCTACAATGAATCACAACTTAATTTGTCTGATCCCATATGAAGTTTGTGCCGGACCCACGATTTGAAGAAGTCAAAGCGTTTGTCAAAAGAAGTGTTTTTGGTCCCTACAACTACGAAGAGCTGATGGGATCCTTGGAAGGAAATGAAGGTTATGGTCGTGCTGATTATTTCCTAGTTGGCAAGGACTTCCCGAGTTATTTAGAGTGCCAAGAGAAGGTCGATGAGGCATATCGAGACCAGAAAGTGAGTGTTGTTTACAACCATAATAAACATGTAAAGATATGCATGTCGAATTTCATTGTTTTATAGCTCTTTGTAACTAACCTTTTTTTGATTGTTTTTGGTGCAGAGATGGACAAAGATGTCAATCTTGAACACAGCTGGTTCATATAAGTTCAGCAGTGACCGAACAATTCATGAATATGCAAGGGACATATGGATGATTGAGCCCGTTATATTACCATAAAGGGATTGCATAGTCAAGAGGGGAACCAAGTTTTTCCCAGGTACCCTTTTCGCATACACGACAAAGTCTTAGTAAGCAAAGTAGTTCCATAGTTGATAATGTTAGTTAGCTAAATGTAGTACCGCTGAGTTTAATATCTCCTAAACTATGTGAAATCAGAGCAGTGTGACATGCACCACTTTTTCAAAGATAAAATTGAGATTAAAACTTCAAAATTACTTGGTTAGTGGGGTTAGTTACGCAAATGCAGTTTACTTTTTGTTCATTTTAGTTATCCACAGCATGATGAGAGAGAGGGAAGAATTGGAAAAGGAACTGGGCAGATTTGGTAATAGTGCATTAGGCCATATTTGGGTCAACTGCAAAAAAATAACCTTGAAAAAAGAGGGGAGAGACAGGTAGTGAAGAAAAGTAGCCATTGCAATTTGTTGGTCCAAGTGCAAAACTACATTATTCAAGGGAGGGTGGTGCCTACGTCCGGTGGGTCCAAACCATCCTGACCCTAATGGAAAGAGTTTGAGGGAATATCCCAACCCGATTATATATATTATTGTAAAAATATTGCCTAATAAATTTATTTATTTCTATATTTTTGTTAATGTCTCATCATATAAAATGATTTTTAGAGTTTTATTTTTAATATTCTATGTTATGTATACAAGGAACCTTTTCTCTATCTATTTACTTTGCAATTTCACTATTAGATCAAAGTCAAACAACACTCATCATCCTTTTGGTTTGTGCACTTTGTTATTGAGATTCAATGTTGAAAATACAAGTTGCAAAGCTAAACAGAGTGGGTCTAGCGGCGTAGGGTGGTGGAGGGGGTAAAATCAGTGGGGTAGGGGTGGGGTCGGAGTCCTTTCATTCATATCTGACCGTTTCATTTTTAAAGTTATGTTTAGATCAATGATTTAAGTTGGAATTTGTAGAGGGAAAAAATTTAAGAAAAAGTGAAAGGAATATAAGTTGTTATTATTATTGTTATTATTACCACATTTTCTTTAATTTTTGTTCACAAATTCTAACTCAAATCTTTAATCCAAAACAGTAAAAAAGTGCCTATATGAATTGATTTTGGAATGATTTAGTAATCGGACTCGCACTCAAACTATTTATAAAATGGTTGCTAAAAAGAAAACTCAATTCAGATTGAGTGGTCCTAAACAATAATAATTCTATAAATATTAAATACTCTTATTAAAATTTTTACTAAAAGTATATCATTGGATATGCAACTATCGTTACTTTTATGACTACCAATCATATTTAACTTATTATACTTTTATTAAGATTTTTAATAAATTTTTTGATGTATATAACATTCCTTTGAATCAATTTTTTGAAACACTTCAATTGCAATTTGCAACATATAGCAATGCCCAGAAGAAAACAACAGTTTCATCATATTATCAAGCTTGTCTGGGGTCTAGCTTGAGAAAAAGGCCATGCACAGAACTTTTTACATGTGGTTCATATAATACTTATCTTAGCTGGTGTGCATAATACAATAAGGAGTCACTATGTAACACAAATTCCAATATTAGGATTGTTCCAATTAAAGCATAGTTTCTAATTATATAAGTGTAAAAATGTAAGAAAAATATAATATTTTTGCGCATGCTACACGTGTCCTGGGGCCGCATATATATATATATATATATATGTATATTGTAAAATGTCTCTTTCTAAATGATTCTTTAGCCCAAAGCTAAAGTTACCCCAAAAAAATAAAAATAAAATAAAAATCACAAGTTATTGCAAAGTATATAGGGTTCGTACAACAGTCAGAGATCTTTTTATCATTCAACATATTTTTCATTATATAATGTGTCATTTTCGGGGTTCTCATGGGGGGAACATTAGATGGTTGTTAAGATATCATGACCTCACGCTACAAGAAAAAATACTTTTGACGATCACCTATTTTCTTTGGTCGCAAATAGTTCACTTTCTGTGACTAAAATTTAACTTTTGGCGATCACATTTTTTTGGTCGCGGAAAATCACATTTTGGCGACCAAAAAAAAAAGTTGGTCGCAGAAAGTATACTATTGGCGACCAAAGGCTTTTTTGATCGTGGAAGATCACATTTTGGTGACCAAAAAAAAAGTTGGTCACGGAAAGTATATGCTATTGGCGACCAAAGGCTTTTTTGGTCGCGGAAGATCACCTTTTGGCGACCAAAAAAAAAAGTTGGTCGCAGAAAGTATACTATTGGCGACCAAAGGCTTTTTTGGTCGCGGAAGATCACCTTTTGGCGACAAAAAAAAAAAGTTGGTCGCGGAAAGTATACTATTGGCGACCAGAGACTTTTTTTGTCGCGGAAGATTACCCTTTGGCGACCAAAAAAAAAAGTTGGTCGCAGAAAGTATACTATTGGCGACCAAAGGCTTTTTTGGCCGCAGAAAACTATCTGTGACGAGGCTTTAGCGACCAACTCGCGACCAACATATTTTGGTCGCGAAAAGGTTTTAGCGACCAAATATGGTACTTTTCGCGACCAAAATGTTGGTCACGGAAAGTGTTAACTTATCTTTGGTCGCTAAAAGTTTACTTTTGGCTAATATAAATTGGACTTTCCGCGACCAAAAAAGTTGGTCGCGAATGGTCACTTTTAGCGACCAAAGGCTTTTTTGGTCGCAGAAAACTATCTGTGACGAGGCTTTAGCGACCAACTCGCGACCAACATATTTTGGTCGTGAAAAGGTTTTAGCGACCAAATATGGTACTTTTCGCGACCAAAATGTTGGTCACGGAAAGTGTTTTTTCTTGTAGTGTCACCATCACTAGCCCATGATGATGAATTTTAGCTACTAAAGAAAAATTAAAACAAAAGCACATAATTTGTGCGCAAAAATATATCAAAAAAGATAATGTAAAATTTTTTATATTTTTCTTAGTTCGAACCTTATGTACCTAGTATTGCTATAAAAAATTCACGGTGATTCTGATAATAATATCATTCACACACACATGCAAACTCTAAATGTGTGAACAATACACATTTTTTGATTGGTGAGATTAATGTACTTGAGATTTATATTTTTTTATTAATCATATTTTATGTATTGCTTATTTTACACACTAATTCATTATCAATTAATTACATATTATATATTATGCGTAATGCTATTCAAAGGCAAAAATTAGATTCACTTTTGAAACCTGCAAAAATTAGATTCACTTTTGAAACCTAATGATCAATTAACTGATCCCTCTTATGTGTTATTTCTCTTTTATATTTTCTCTAATTATTAATCAATCATTTCACTTATGTAACTTTGAGTTTAGAAAATGAATTTGTATATCATTTATTACACACTAATTCATTTTCAACTAATTACATATCAAATATTATGCTAATGCTATTCAAAGGTAACAATTAGACTCACTTTTGAAGCCCAATGATCAATTAATCGATCACTTTCATGTATTAATTTTCTCTTATATATTTTTTTTTAATTATCAACCAATTATGTTACTTATACATCATTGAGTTTAGAAAATAAGTTTAAATAATGAATTTATATATTATTTTTCATACATTATTATGACCATGGCCCACTTGTATATGCCTCATCTGATTATCTGTTTGCGTTCAAACAAAAATAATAATAATAATTCTGATTATCTGTTTATTCGGTGTCGGCAGGTACTTCCATTAGTTATCACCATGATCCTTTAACATTTAAGTTACACCCTCTCTAACAATTTAAATTATACAAGATATATATTTTTTGATTGGCAAAAGAAATATAAATTTTAATTTATAAAATATATGGTTCTTGGTATAGTATTCATGTTAACATTTTTTATATTAGGGTAAATTACACTAATCTCCCTTGAAGTTTGGAAAAAATCTAATAAGTTTTATATTTTTGGTATAATTGCAATAATTTTTGTTTATGTCTTAATTTTTTGGGAGTAAAAATAAATTTAAGAAATTTAAATATATGATATATATATATATATATCTTTTTGGTGTTTATTTTTGTCAAATTAATTTTTTTTTTCCAAAAAAGAAAGGTTCAAGAAAAACTTATTAAGAATTAAGGTGGGTCTTACAATTTTAGATTTATTAGTGTACCACAACATAACATTATTATTATTTTTTTTAATCAGCAAAATAATATTTTATTGATAACATAAAAAATACAGAAAGTATAACATACATAAAAAAAAGTAAGGAGAAAGCTACAAGCATCATAACTAGACTACTGATCCTAACAAAGTTGGTGCCGAAAACTAGCAAAATCATATGCTAGTAACTCCAAATTGATGACAAACCAACCAAGACCGCAAAGAAGAAAACAAAAACAGCAAAGACACCCAATCATCAAAAGCAGCCAAGGCCCCTAACCATTAGCTAGTACATCCACTTGACATCAACTGATACCCAACCTTCTGTTGCAACACAAGCCTTGATCTGATCAGATTAATGACAAAATCCTGCACTGAGTAGTACATCCCCTTTATATTAGATTTACTCCAAAGTGCTACCCTCACTTTTACCAAATCTGCTAGTTCATTCCAATCAATTGATTTACCACTACATAGACATTCATTCCTAGCTTACCATATTGACCAACTTTCCACATTTTAAGAACCATTGATGAACTTTTCCTCCATGCTGCTTCTCTTTGTTTCTTGAACTTAACACTACATCCACTCCTATATCTCTTTTAGCATGTTTTTTTATCATCCCCCTCTATTCTGGCCTTCTTAGACCTCTTACATTCCATGTCATTATCTTCCCAAGGAAACCATAAAATACACTTAAACCCCTGCATTGGTTACTTAGGCTTCAACAGCCATTCCACCACCTTCAATCCTTTCCAGATCTTTGCTTATTGGGCTGCAAGCATTGGACATTTACATACTTGTTGAATAGATGAAATAATTAAATTCCAACAAAGTAGGATATTGATTTTGAATTGAATTTCTCCAAAATTTTTAAAATGGTATCAAAGTTATATCTTGGTTGGTCTCTCCACAATCAATTCTTTGTTCCCAATCTATTTTTTCCGTCTTAGTCATCCCTCTATCACTTCTGCATGCAATCAGGTTGCACATGTAATAAATATGATGTGTTAGAGATTTAGCCTATCTCGTTTATGTAAGCTATCCAAACTTGATAAATAATCTACAAGTTTTGTCACTCAACCCTAATTGATTTTGAGTTGGATATTTTCAACATTCTAATGTAGTATTAGAGTTGATTCTTGGATGGCTTGTTGGGGTATTTCTACATTTATATCTCACCCACCTTTTTTTAATCTCTCTATAATCTCCACCGGTGATTGGACCACATGCATGAAAGATTTAGCCAACGTCTCTCTAAGCCACATAAATTTGGTCTATATAGTTAGGGTTTGATGTCTAAAAAATTTTATCTTGAGCAATTTCTTGAGCCAAGTCTTCACTCATGTTGTGTTTCCCTCACTTTATATATAAAATACACTACAACAAAAAGCAAATTTATGTTGTGTTTCCCTCACTTTATATATAAAATACACTACAACAAAAAGCAAATTTGGCGACTAAAACTAAATTTTTCGTCGCTGAAAGTAGTAGAATTGGCTACTAAAATGGAATTA